ATATATATATATATATATATGCATATATATGTAAAAGGAAAAAAAAAAGAAAAGAATAGAACAGAGAAATGATGACACGCCAGATGGACGATTGAAGAGAGAACAGACGCAAAAAAGTGATTTTTCTGAATGTGTTGCTTTGTCAATCGTCTCTCTTGTTTTCGAGTTTCGTCCGAGGATGTTGACAATCCTCGAGTGTATACGTGCCTTCTGCCTCTCGTCTTTGACACATTCAAGTGTAAAAAGTAGCTCTTAAACATTCGTATACAGAACCACATCATGGTTCTTCTACCATGAAAAATTACATTCGACGGATGAGTTCGTGCGTGTAAGGAAACACGTTGGAAATAACGGAAGCGCCATACATCGCCGAAAAGTGTGACAGGTGTTTTTCTCTAGGCACTTAGAAAGCTCTTGCTCGTATCGTTGGTATCAACTTTCTCCATCGGGCAAGGATGTTCGAAACCGCGTTGGCGTTTACTGCCACGACTACGGTTTCGATTCGGATGTATCGGCTGGCTGTAGCAATAATGGAACCTAGGAGTATCGATCGCCGTCGAGACTACAGTGCGAGAGATTCCCTAGAGTAGCACTCGATGCATCGAAATGCACTTCGGTATTAATATGCATTTTCCGTACGGTATAGACGAAGGCAGAAACGAAACGCGATAAACGAGGTGGGACGATTCAGGAAGAATTCTCAAGAAATGTTGTACTTCGAAAGATCGCGCATAGGGGATTTCTGCAGGTAGAGAGATAGAAAGAAAGTGAAAAAGATATAGAGAGAAAGAGAATGAGAGAAAGAAACGGGTGATGGTGAAAAAGGTATATAAAAGACAGATAGACAAATAAAGAAGAAAGAGAAGGAGGTATTTCGAAGTGCGTATTTCGAGCAAAGTGAATGTCGACTTCATACATTTCTTTCGGAGTGCATTGCGTTGGACGTGTTGCATCGGCGCCTCTGTATACGCGCGGCCTGCATTCTCACTTCCTGTTCCGTGGTAGTACACCGCCGGCACTCCTAACATTAATAAAGAACAAGAAGAAAGCTGAGAATGATGAGAAACAAAAACGGGGACGGGGAGTACGATCTGTAATGCGAATTGTTACCTCAACTAAGAAGAAACAAAGATTTATGTTAACGTACTGCGTGAATTAAATAACGCATTGTATTATTGCGTATTTCTATGCTACAATTTAACTCTGACAACGTGCGTACCTGCATGATTTTATATATATAGAAAGATATCATTCTATTGCTAAGAAAAATAATCACTCAATTTATTCTCTCCTTTATTATTAAGTAACGGTTATCTTTAATAAAGAAAATTTTCTTGATAATAATCATAAAAAACATACTTATTATAAATTTTAAAAAATTCATTATTATTATGTGCTCAAAGAATTACTTTCTTCTGAAGAATATTATAAAATTGATCGAAAAAGCGACTTTATAAGCGAATCGAATTCGTTTTAATTTAATAATCTTAATTGAAGTATTAAATTTATTAGGATTTGGAATATATTTTGAATGTATTTGATGCTCGTGATGAACTTATTATAGATTTGTGGGTGAACTTTTGAAATACTTAAAACAAATAATTATTATTATATACAGTATATGTCTTTCTGTGTGTGTGTGTGTGTGTGTGTGTGTGTGTGTGTATGTGTGTGTGTGTGTGTGTGTGTGTGGATATCGTAATATAAATATATTTGATAATTCATATTCAATATTTAAATTGCATTTATGTTGTTAAGTTATAAAAAACATTAAAAACATTAACATAAATTATATTTGCTAATTGAAATGTTTAAATTGCAATTGTTAAAACAAAAAGAATTCTTTTATTTCTTATATTTTCTATTCTATTTCCTCTAATTACATTAATTATATTAGTTTTGTAATTACACATTTTTTTATGTATATCTTTATTAATTTCTGTATATACACGTTTTAGCTAATAGATTAGAAAATATAATTTAAATTTGTCAATTTAAATTTGTCAATTTAATTTGATTAGTTGCATCTTATTGAACGATGCGTGGACATTATTAGATACATATTATTAGATTGTTTCATTCTATTATATTGTTAATAATTTAACTAAATTGCGATTTGCAAAATGAATATTATTGTCACGCATTACGAGAACATTAAAAAAAATTAAAAGGGAAATCACATTTATAAAAGATTAAATAAAGCATTTAAGATTATTGTCAAATGTAAATATGTCAGCGAAAATACTATTCTCAATTTAGTAGATATTACTTCGTGATATGTCATATATGAGAGGTTCACATGGAAAAATCACATGGAAAAATGCAAATAAGAGATGCAATGGAAATAGCTAGGAATAGAAGCGGGTTAAGCTTATATATAGTATATATATATA